AAACCCAACAAGAACGCCAACCAGCTTTTGCGTTTTTATTTTATCCCTGAAAAAAATGATGCCGATAGCGGCGACACAGATCGGTGTAAGGGAATTTAAAATACCTGCTAAAGAGCTATCGGTTTTCATGATCGCGAAAGCAAAGCAAAACGCGGGAAAGAGGTTCCCGAAAAACCCGGCAAGGATGACCCATCCCATTTTCTTCCGCGGAATTTTGCTCAGGTGAAAAACGGCAAATGGAAGAAATACAACGGCAGCGGAAAAGATGCGTAAAGCGGCAATTTGCGGCGGTAACAAACCTTTCTGGCTTACCTTCATAAGAATGAAAGAGCTGCCCCAGATAAAGCAAAGCAATATAAAAAGGATCCAGTTGGTCAGTTTATTGTTCATGCGCTTAAATAGCGGCCAAAGGTCATAAAAACCAATGAGAGCTTTTCATTTTTTTATATTTGAATAAAATTGTTGCATGGCAAAAATCAATCTTAAAGAAATCGATACCAGGGCACCCGGAGATTTTGATAAAAAAGAAACGAAGGAAAAGACCGCGCGTATGGTCGAGGAACTGGATGGCCTGCAAAACCTGCTATATGCCGAGGGTAAACATTCCGTTTTAATCGTTATACAGGGAATGGATGGAAGTGGTAAAGACGGGGTGATCAGAAATGTGCTGGGCAATATGAATCCGCAGGGTGTTACCGTTCAATCCTACAAAGCACCTACGCCTGAGGAATTATCACACGATTTTTTATGGCGGATACATCAACATACCCCGGGCAAAGGAATGATACAGGTTTTTAACCGGTCACATTATGAAGACATACTCATCACCCGCGTGCATAAATGGTGTGATGACGAGACGGCAAAGAAGCGGATGAAAGCAATTAATGATTTTGAAAAACTATTATCCGAGCATAACAGCACGCATATTCTTAAGTTTTACCTCCATATTTCTCCCGGTGAACAGCATGACCGCCTTTCCGAACGCATGAAAGACCCGGCAAAAATGTGGAAGTATAACGAGAAGGATTTTGAAGAGGCAAAGCTTTGGGATATTTATATGGAGATGTACGAAGACTGTTTTAATAACTGCAATGATGTGCCATGGCAGATTGTACCGGCGGACCAGAACTGGTATAAAGAATACCTGATCGCGAAAGCGCTTCACTCGCTCCTGGAAGGGTTGAATATGCAATATCCCGGTCTAAAAAAATGACATCAACCGATTGCGGAGACGGGTGCTGTGAGAGATCAGCCCGTATCAATTAAATTATCAATAACTTCCTATTCTAAACACACAAACCAACAATTATGGGAATGCTAAAAGAATTTCGCGAGTTTGCCATGAAAGGCAATATCGTGGACCTTGCCGTAGCCGTTATCATCGGCGGCGCATTTGGAAAAATCGTAACAGCGCTTACTGATACG